TACATATTCGATTTTCCCATTGATACGAACTTATTGTTTTCATTCAAGATTTACAAGAAATCAAATACTTATTTCACAACAACAAATATCTATTTTTACTCAAACACGAGCATGTATTTACTAATAAATTCATGTTTTTACATCATTACATTTGACAATACTATCAAAACAACCCCAAAATCAAACTAATTTTCGATATTCTTTATTCAGACCAGAGAATTCATATAAATCATCGATTACTCAAATTTAAGTATTCATTTAATGTAATAATTGTTAGATATTAGGCGTTTTATATAAAAATTCTCCCTATTTCAAATTTTCAAGCGAATTAAGTCGATATTTCATACATTTTATAATATACAAATCATGTGTAAGTACAATAGCTTTAATTATTTACAATATTGATCATTTTATTACGAAATCCAAAAATTTAATCAGCAAAATCGATGTTTTTATATAAGATTAGAATGATTTACATCATTGTTTCCATGCACTAGCTGTTAAAATGCTGATGACAGCTAAAAGAATCGCAATTTCATAACTTGAATATAAGATTCAAATGAATCGGCATTATTTGACATTTACATCATTGAAATGTCAAATAATGCCGATTCATTTTTTTGATGAAAACAATGAAATTCAATCACGATTTTCAGATAACAGTATCAAAACACACATCAACTATGAATAATTTACACTTTGATCAATTATCTGCTGATGTTTGGAAGTTATTTTACAATACATCACCTAATTCAGAACCAATTCAAGGTACAAATGTTACCGCGAAATCAACAAAAAATGAATGCTTCTTATATAACTGTATATTCATCACCATTACAACTAATAGTGCCATTTATTTTACGAATGCAAACAATAAGTTCCTTAACTCGTATTGTTCATTTACTAACTGCAGCAGTAATACAAATGGTGGATCTATATACTTTAACTGTAATAGTTCCATTGTCCAATATCGATCATGTGGCTACAAATCAAAAACAAACAATCAAGGACATCATTCATATGTTGAATTAGTTGATAAATCAAATAATAAAAATTATCTTTATGAAAGTTCATTTTATTTATGCGGAAATTTAGAAAAATCTTTTACAAATTATCTTTATTTTGGAAATATTGAAGTTAAATCAATCAACACAAGTCTCTGTGAAGCAGGCTCTGGCTCAGGAATACTTCTAAATATTCCAACAAGTCTAAGTAATGTAACATATTCATCATTTTGTAACACAACATCAAATTATTTAATTTTAGAATTAAATCGTGGTAACTATAATTTTAATTTTTGTAATGTTTTGAATAATGAACACAAATATTCTATATGGGGAACATTCTATGCAGATGGATCAACTGTTCTTATTGAAAACTGTTCATTTCTTGGAAACACAGGACCAGGAAAAGAATTTTATCAATATTATTCTGGTTCAATTACAGTTAAAGATTCTTTCTGTGACAGAATAATAGATCAAACATATGGATCAGTTACAACAAATAATGTTCAAAATATATATTCTATTCATAATCTTTCACACTTTTCATCATATCTGTGTGAAGCAGAGTTTCCTATTTTAGATAAAAAGCCTATGAGATCTGCTTTTGATTTATATCATCAATTTTCCTTTAGACGAAGGCGTTAATATTCATGATTTATGAATTTATATAATCAAAAAATTGTAATTAAAGACCATTATTAACGAAAGCATTCATCAATTGTTTAATATCAATTGAAATATGAAAAACTTTATATTCAAAAGATGATGCGGCTTGATTTCTCAATTTAATTTTCAAAGAGTTCGTATTTGTTACAGTGAATTTAAATAATTAGTACTGATATAGTAATGCAATAATATCGGGAACATGGCTCTTAATTTCGAAATAGGTTTTCTTTGTAAGGCATCTAAGTATTAACAAACTGATATTTCAATAAAGAGTTCAATATTATAATAGAAATTTGCTATGACAGAAAGAATAAAACTATAGCAAAAAGAATTATTGTTATTTCGATGATATTTTGTAATATTCTTCGTTTACAAATGATTGGACATTGTATCTTGGGGAGATGTTGGATAATAAATTTAACGATTTCTTATTCAATTCTATTATATCATTGCTATCTTGAAGTGGAAAATTTTTCTTAAGAGTGCACTTACACCTGTATTACATGTCCTTCGATTCAGATGTTTAAGGTTAATTTTCAATGACACTTCACGCCATTTGTCAGAAATTTGAATTAAAGTCAGATACGCGTAAGTGCACCCTTAAGAACATTTGTCATTACAAGTATAAGTAAAGACACTCAAGATGCATTTTTGTCATTCAATAATCTATTCTCTCGCTATTGCAAACAATTTCAAATGTCGCATTCAATTTCTGTGTAATACAATATCATTCACTAGGATCAGTTTATTCATAACTTTACTCACTTTTCAACATATTTCTGTAAAGCAGGATAAATATGCTTCCAATACGTAACATCATTTATCATTTTCCTTTAGACAAGTGCGTTAATTTTTCAAGGATTTATTATTATCGTTTTTTATTATTAAAAATAATTTTTTTACAAACAAAAAAATAAAAAAAACTCATTTATTTAAAAGAAGATTAATAATATCTTCGTTCTTTGTCTGGAGTGCGACATCTTTAGCTGTGTGTCCTTCGCTGTCAACAACACTCAAATCGAGATCTTCACGAGAAAGGAGAACTTTGACAACTTCGATTTTTTCGTTTTCAATAGCGTTGAAAATAGGAGTTCGCTTCATCAAGTTCTGACGGTTGACATCGACATTTTCGTGTTGAAGCAACTCTTCGACGAAACTAGTTGAGCCGCATTTAGCGGCAACATGGAGAGGTGTCCACTGGATTGAGTCGACGCAGTTCAAGTCAACGTCATCTCGATCGGCGAAAAGACGGATTAAGTCTGAGAAATCATTAGATGCAGCGATGTGAAGAGGTGTGAAACTAGAATCATCAGGAAGTTGTGGATTGACATCTTTGTCGTTCAGAAGACACTCAACGCACTGTTTGTGGTGGAGAAGAACTGCGTAATGAAGAGCACTGCGATTCTTCTTGTCGACGATGTTCTTCTCGATGCCTGGAAAACTCAAGAGAAGTTCTAAAGCTTCGAAATGTCCGTCACGAGCTGCCCGGATCAATGCTGTACGTGATGAGTTGTTAGTGGCATTGACATCAATGGATGGATCAGAAAGAAGAAGTCGCAGAACACGTGTGTGACCATTAATTGCTCTCAACATAACACTTTAATTGTCAACATCTTCTTACAATTAAAGAATTCTGTAACAAATTCAATTTATTTGATTTATCAGATACTAATGTTTTAAAAAAGCATATTGTTTTGATCAATTTCATCTAATTCAATATTGCATTCTATTACTGCTACTAAACAATTCATTGTTTCGGCATATTCCATACAATTCGTATTTGTCAAAAAATTAAACATCAAATCCCAAATAGGATATAAATGATTTTTGTAGATACTAATTCTCGAAATTAATGTAGAGATGTTGGATATAAGACTAGTCATATATTAAGGGGAGATTGGGACAAAGTTGCAATTCGGCACTTTTTGTAAAAAAAATGGGGTCATACTCATAATGAATAGAGACTTATAGCCAAGTCTTGATATCATGCAGGGAGAATATACATTGATAAGCAATTATATTTTATAGTAGTAGTATTCAGAAATTCTTACAATTTACAATACAATTTTCAAAAATGGATAAAGACTTATAGCCAAGTCTTGATATCATGCAGGGAGAATATACATTGATAAGCAATTATATTTTATAGTAGTAGTATTCAGAAATTCTTACAATTTACAATACAATTTTCAAAAATGGATAAAGACTAATAGCCAAGTCTTGATATCATGCAGGGAGACTCTCTACAAATACAAAAATTGATTATCATAAGGAAATACAAATTTATCAATTTTCATGTGAAAATTACATAAATTTGTTCTCCAATAAATAGCAATAATACTTTGAATGTTATATTAAGTAATATAGCTTCGGGTAAATAAGCTTACACTTCAAAAATATACTGTTTATTCATTAATTTTAAAAAAAGTCCAAATTATCTAATCTTGCTTACTCTTCCTTTAAACTTCTTTGTGCCAAATTTAATATTGCCTTCAAAGATGGAATAAGGACATTAGGTTCAATCCTTCGGCTTTCGACAATTTCCAAAATGTGTTGAATTAATTTCAAACATTCATCGTGTTTTGAAGCTCTTTGCTCAACAATCTGATTACCTGCCCTTGTAAGAATTCTTACTGCTCTTTCTTCATTCAAAACATTAGCGACTTGAACCTTAATAATCGCATTTGGAATCACAACAGTGATGAGAGTTATGACGATGTCATCAATGCGCTCATTTTTCTTACCCAAGAAAAATGTTTGCTTTAATTGATGAAAGTGTGATTCCGCAATGTTATTCGTGGAATCACCTTCTCCACGATATAACATCATCCAATGTTCTTTGGTTCTTCTCCATTGTTTATCGAAATACTTCAAAGCGCGCGGTTCTTCTTCTTCTAACATTGTTGTCAAGAGTAAATTGGATAATTATGCTGTACTTACAAAATTTCATTGAAATATAGATGGATAAAAGGAATTTTAACTTCAATAAGATGCAGCATTAACTTTGAAACATGTGTGTTGCACTTGAATAAAATAAGAAGCATCCATCAAGTATTAGAAGTTACTATTTATCAATCATCAATTCGGTATTTCATACTCAAATAATGATTAAACTGGTACACAATATTGATAAGTATATTATTTATCACGTCCAATGTGCATACAAATTTATTGAATCTTTTGAAGAATTCATAAACTACCTGAAATATCAGAAATATCAATACTGGTTATTCAAATGAAGTCGAATTCCACCTAATGATTCATGCAGATTTTTATGATATTCGTATCCTATTCAAATGATTATATTTGTCACTTTTCATTTCATTTTTTATGATAAAAGATCAAGCATTAACACTCAAACAGATTTTTGAAAATAATTCAGAGCTCGGCAGCAGAGGTGAATCAGTAATAACTGAAGACAGATTTCGTAGAATGCTTCTAGATTTTGATATCGATGATAGTTTAACATCACCACTATTTAAACTCATTGGTGGATGGCACTGTGAGGGAATAACTTACGATCAATTCAGTAGATTCGTTAACGATCTTCAATCCAAAGATCAAAAGTATTTTTACCAATATTTATTCAGAATTTTCGATTATGGTAGCGATGATCAAATTGACTCTAACGATCTAATAGAGTTTAGCAAACTAATTGGTGATCCTTTAAAAAGTCAAGAAGCAATGGAGATTATTTATGATTTGATAGATATAGATGATATTGAAATAAGTAATGACATCCCAACAGTTGATTTCAACCAATTCGAGAAAAGATTAGAAAATGATATTTCTGGGCGCTAATAATTCAAAATATATACATTTCTTGTCAAAACAATTATACACATTCAAATAGTTTTCATTTCACAGGTATAACAAACTTCCTTTTCGATGAAAAATTACATTTTATTGAATTCAAAATATTTATAACACTAGTACAGTTTTGATAAGAAATATAATCAATATCGGCTTACATATTTTAATTTGTTTGAAATAAATACTTTCATTTTAATTTTATTTTTTTATTTAATGAAATCTAATCGATCATACATACAATATATTATTTCATGTAGAGTTTCCAGTTCCTATCACAATATAAATATTTATATGCCCATGAATAAAATTTTGAATTTTATATCATGTAATTAAACATGAGAAAAGGAAAAATTGAACATTAAAAAGATGAGTGATTTCAAAATAATAATAAACAATTTATTATTCAAATTAATTCAATTTTGATTTCAAATCGTTGAGGATTGATTTCATTTCAGCAGTAGATTTTTCGTAGACATCAGCAAAACCGAGGAAAAGCAAACGTGTAGCGCAATTTGTTATTTTTGCAAGCTGATTTTCTGAAGGATTTGAAGCCAAAGCTGCCTCAATGTTTTCATGTTGACCAAGTTCCTCAACAAGCATTTCTAATGGAGAAATAATGTGAGCGGAACTGAGTGGCTCTGTATCACTTTCTTCTGCTGGTTTTTCTTGTTCTTTCGCTTTCTCATTTTCTTTCTTATTCGACTTTTTATTGTATTTGATCTTAGTATATTCCGCATCGTCAGCATCTTCCTCTTCATCATCTGATTCATCTCCCAAAAGCTTAGCAAAGTAATCATTAACGAGTTTGTTCGATTGTTCTTTTTCTTCTGAAGTTAGAACTCTAATAGGTTGATAATAATCGTTATCCAAAGAAGGAACTAATTCTAGTGTTGAGTTTGGTTGATTTACGGGGTGGTTTTCTGTTTGTTGTGCAACTTCGGCAGGTTTTGGTACCTCTTTGTTCTCTGCAGGAGAAATTTTATTTTCGGAATTGTTTTCTTCATTTTTAGCTTCTGTTGGTTTTATTTCTTCCTGTTTTGGTTCTGTAGATTCGGTTGTTTGAGTTTTTTCTGGAACTGCAGTTGGTTTCTCTTCTTTTTCTGAAGATTCGGACTTATTATGCTTTTTTTCTTTCTTTTCAGGAACATAGGCATCATCGTCACTATCTGAATCATCACTACCAATTTGATCGAAGTATGACTTTACTGGATCAGCCATTTTTTTTGAACAAAAAAATTGAAAAATAAAAAATGTGACATAAAAGTGACAAATGCAGCAAAGTTTTCAGAATGTTAGCCAAATCGTCAAGCCTAGTAAAAACTTTGATGAACTTATGGAATTATGGGGCTTGAGCCTTGAAGAACGTACCGATCCAAAGGCAAGCTATGAAGAATATTTTAAAGATGTTCCAGGATATGATCCAAAATATAACATGTTTGCAATGAAAGATCCAGACTATCAGATTGAAATGAATTTTAGCAACATCTGCTTCGGACAAGATGCTAACGAAGCTGTTGATCTTATTATTCCAGATCTTCGTTCAATGCTTCTGGAAAATTCTTTCCCTCCTGGTTTAACTGAGCGTCCAAGACCTCCGAAGATCGAAAAGCATAGTAAGAAAGATAAAAAGAAGCACGATAAAAAGAAACATCGCGATGTTCCAAAATCAAAGTCATTGGCAATACTCTCAGAGCATTAACTTTCAGAAATTTACTTTTTATTCATATTTGTTTTACTTTAGATTTAATATCTTTCATAGATTAAATAAATTTTTGTTTTTGTTTGAAAATTATATGGATTGTGTTCTATCAAATATAGTCATTACTCCTGGTAGCTCTAAAATAGAATTTATTTTTGTTAAAATGATAAATAAAAAAAAGTTTATGATATCTTCTACTCTTCTCCTTCTGGCTTTGTAGGGATGAGTCTATATTCTGGTGGAACTTCATCTTCAGTGTAAAGTCTATCGGAGAAGTAAATACGTCTAACACGGCAATTAGCAAAAACAGAGACACGAAGAGTCTCAATGTAGTTTGTACCATATGCACGGCGAGTGAAATCGCTCAAGTTGAATTGAATCTGGTTCCATCCAGGATCAAGTCTCATTGGAAGAGTGCAAACGAATGGTTTGACACGAGTCTTCGACTGGAAATTCGAAGCTCTAAAACGACGTCTCATATTCATATCATCGAGAACTTGAATTTCGAATGTAAAGTATTTCTTCAAATACTTTAAAACTAAAACCAAGAAAGGAAGCTTAATAGCAAGCTCCCCCTTTGGATCTATCGGACATGTAATATATGTATTGTTAACTGTTGTACTAACGATTTCAAGTACGCATGATCTGATATCTGGGTCTGTAAGTCTCTTGATATAACCATTTTCGACGTGCTGCTCCCAAATGCTAAGGGGTTTTGATCCAACAGAATAGAAAAGATTTAAGAAACCTGCCTGATACTTATCCCTGAACATCTGAAAATTTTAGAACGTTATTTCTTTCGTTATCTTTTATTTTCGACGTAATGCTTAATGATAGATCCATATTTTTCGATTAGACAATTTATTTTTCATTTTAGCATTGATAATCCCATTATTGAGCAATTTTTTTTTTGAATCTTTGACATGGAGATAGAGAAACTATCATATTTGCCAGATTCAAGGTGGTATAACAAAATTTTCGGTAGTAAATAAGATTATATTGAGATGAATTTATCAAATTTTTCAAAGTGGAAAGTAATCTTTAAATCTCAGATATAACTTTGCATTCAAAGTAACTATACAAGTGTGCAATGAAATAAAGACAGTTCTATTTATTTTGTTTAAATTTGTGATATTTTTCTTAAATTCAGCGAATCTAAAGCTGTTGTATCAAAAATAGAGATAAGTTTCAGCAATTGATTCAGTGACAATCTAAAAAAGTGTAAAATTTTCTTAATTTTTTTTTATAAAATTAGAATAATATGTTTATTCTTCATCTTCATTTACAAAAAATTGACCTGGTAAATCAGCTTGGAGGTCACCGTCAAGATAGTCTTGATCTCTAAAGATTTCAAATGGCCAGTGGAAATAGACCATGAGCATTGAGAAAACATTGTAAATAGAGAACTGTTCAACAAATTGAAGTGATGAATCCTGGAAGAACTTGAAGAATTTGAATAATAATTCTGAAGTGGCCAAAAGTGCCAAAGCAGCAATTCCTGAGATAATATAGATTACATACTTATATCTCTCTGTGATGTCGACCTGGCAGCCTGCAAATAAAGTTGTAATTGCAGCCCAAACAAGGTAAACTCCGAAAAGAGCAGTATCAGCTGTATCAATGTACTTCTTAACTTCATCTGATAATTCGAATGGAAGGTAGCTTGGTAATTCTGTGATCATTGTGTTCAGATAAATTGTTGCGAACATTGCGAAGGAGAAAAGGATCTTTGGGACAAAGAAGCATGGATCTGTCTTTCTGTTCTTGTATCTTAATGAATCGAATAAAACAAGTACGAAATACCTGAAATAAGTCGTAAAAATCGATTTAATTAAAATATCCAAAATTAGGCCAGTTTTAGATGGATATGTGATTGTTAAGTATATGAGAGGGTTGTTGAAGAGCATTGACAAAAACTGTAAGTGTAATGTTAATTTTTGCTCTAAATGCCAGAAAGAATAAGAAACTTTGCGAAGGCTGAATACGAAAAGGATCAGTAACATGAACTCAATAATTGCGAATGCAGTTCTGAAGTAAATTTCATAATAGGAATGTTGAATTGTTGCCAAATAATGAGAAACTTGGGCAGCACGAAGGTGTTCAGCATCTGTAACAACAATGTCAATACGGATTGCATCGTATTCAATTAATGGACTGGAATATAACAAAATTTGATCAGAAGTTGAAGATCCTGTCTGGAAATTGAGGGTTTGATTTGAAATTTTGCCATAGTAATTATTTACTATTACCTTTTTGTTTGTTAAAGCGATGCTATAGTCAATAAGTCCGACTGATTTTGGAATTTCGTTGGAGCTATCTTTTTCGAATTCAATAAATATTTTTGTGTATCTGTTGTATACGCTGATGTGATTATGAGATAATTGCATTTCTAATTTGTTTTGATCAATTAATAATTTTTGTGCGTGGCAATCGTATGATTTCGGACCAATTATACCAGTGATCGTAGTAATTACGAGTATTATGATAAATCCAAGGATTGAAAACAAATCTTCCTTGAAATTAGAAGAGTCAATTGTCATTAAGGTTTCACGACCTAAAGACTCTTCGATCTGTATGTCTATCATGTTACCTGAAGAAGAATCGGCATTTTGTGATATCATTCTATTCTAAATATGAAAAAAATAAACAAATAAAAAAAAATAATAGATAAATTGAGAAGATGGTGTATGACCCTTAAATTTTTAAATAAATTTTAGGGGTCTGTCCTTATATAAAATCTAATGATTACTCCATCTCATCAAATAATATATGATTGGGAATACCAAGATCAGCAAGAAGAATGTTTCGTAACAATTCATTTCCCTCCAACGTTTAATCCCCAAGTCCTTAAGTATGTTTTATCTGAGGACAAGACAAATCTAATTTTATCAATGGACTCTCCAATTCCAATTGTATGCGGCCGTTTATGGGGAGAAGTTAAAGAGATTAAGGACGTTTATACTTCTGATAAATATGTCTTGAGTATAACTAAGCAAACACCTGAAGAATGGCCAAATATTATTAAAGCTGTTCATCCAGAGTTTGAATCTCTCGACCCTAAGTCTGCATACATTCAATTCCAAGAGTTAGTGTTGGAAGCTCCGAAAGATCCTCAATTCCAACATTATGCTATCGAACGCTTAGTTGCTTCTGCTCAAACAGGATTTTTGCCAGCCCTCAGAACCTACGGATCTATGATGCTAACTGTTAATGGCCAGCAGCAAAATGGTTTTACAAGCTTGAAAACAGCTGCTGATACTTATGGCGACCCAGCTTCTGCATACCAAGTTGGTTTGATATTAGCATCAACACCCGAAGGTTTCACAAATGGTATTTCTTACCTCAAGTTCGCAGGAAGCAAAGGTTTCCACGCTGCATATCTTACATTAGGACAAATTTACTCTCCATTTACAGAATTCGAAGCCCAAAAGGATCCTGCTCTTGCTGCTCAATACCTTCAGCAAGCTATTGCCGCAGGAGACGAAATGCCTCAAGCATATAATGAATTATCCAAACTTTACGCTGCTGGTGTCGGTGTTGAGAAGGACTTAAAGAAGGCCCAGGAACTTTTAGCGAAAGGTGAACAGCTCGAAGAACACCAAAACCGCAGAAGATACTCGAAAGAACATGGAGAAACAGCTCCACCACCTGAAAAGCATGAGGATAGATCGTATGCTGGAATTGGAAAGATCATTGCCATTGGTGGCGGAATTGCCGCTTTTGTTGCAGGATTTTCTTATGCAATTTACAAGAAATTCTCAAGAAAATAATGGTTAATTATTTTTGATTTAAATATATATGTATTATTATCCTTGTTTAAGAACTGTGAAGCCTTATCCCCAATTAAAACTAAATATTTACAAACAAACTCGTTTTTTCTGCGGCTATGAGCAATAATACACAGTTTTTGGAGACGAGTATTGTTAGAAGTTCCCTTTTGAATAATGAACTTAGTCTTCCAAAAGATTTAAGTGTATTTCAACCACAAAAAGTTAGAACAAAGAACCTTGTCATTTGCACTATGGATCTCGTATGGAGAAAAATCGTCTCCAACTATAGAATGCAGTTTGGAGACACTATAAAATTTACAAAATTGGAAAAGCTTATATTTTGGAATTTGGAGATCCCAGCCGTTATTTATCTAAGCAAGTTCCTTAATTGCACATATGAAAACTTAACTATTTAAAGATTATATAGACTGTAAGGAAAATTTCGGATTCAAAAAAATTGACATTTCAAAAATGGCAACAATAGAAGGGAAGAAACTCAGCTACAATGAAGCTGTTTCTCAGTATAAAGGGTATATTGATACATTTAATTCAATTTTCAAGCTTAAAACAACCAGTAAAGATGAAATTAAGCAAATTTTTGAACAAATCAAAACAAATCTAATTGAACCAAAAATATTTACTTCAAAATTGCTTATACTTTCCATAACAAACTTGGTTCCTTATAACAATCGTTATTTTAAATCCTATTGGGAACTTTTTAAACTAATTTATGAAAAATATCCTGTCAAAAAACATTATTCAGAGATTCCAGAGTTCTTTGATTACTTCATTTATAAACAATACGGATCTGTTTTAGATCAGAATCATGAAGGATTATTCGACAAATGCGAGCCAAACAAATATTTATTCGAAATACACGAAAAGAACACAATTTATCGAGCAATCATGGATGATGATATTGAATTATTTATTACATTTATCGAGAGGGAAGATTTCGATAAACAAAAACTGCTTACCAGCGAATTCTATCCTCCATCAAACAAAGGATATTCATATCTCGAATTATGCTGTTATCATGGCGCTGTTGGTTGTTTTAAACTTTTAAGAACAAAGTTTAATTCTGAAATCACTGAAGATTGTTTAAACTTATCATTTTTGGGTGCAAATCAAGAGATAATGAATGAATGTTTGAAATTCCAAAAACCAACAGAAGAATCAATGGGTATGGCAATAATGTCGCATAACATTGACTTTGTTTTCTATTTACTGAATGAGCATGGAATCAAAATTGATTTATCACAATGCAGCAGAGCATATAATGTTGAAGTTTTCTTAGCTCATTTAGATTCTACAAATGATATCAATGGATGCTTCAATGCTTCACCAATATTTAATTTGTTGCCATTAACTGAATATTTATTTTCACTTGGCGCAGATATAGATACAAAGGGTGAATATGATGATACTGCTCTTCATCTTTCAGCACAATATAATTGTGCTGAAATTGCAGAATTTCTTATTTCACAAGGAGCTGATTTAAATGCAAACAATAGATTCAATCAAAGTCCAATTTTTGAATGTTGTTTTTTAGATAGCGCTGAAACTGCACAAGTTCTTATATCCCATGGAGCTAAATTAAATCTAACAGACAACATATATGGAGAAACTTCGCTCCACAAAGCAGCTGGATCTAACTGTGTTAAAGTTGCAAAAATTTTGCTTGAAAATGGTGAAAATGCCAATGCTAAAGAGAAGCATGGCAAAACTCCTCTTCATGTTGCTGCCGAACATAACTATACAGAAATTGCAGAGCTTCTTCTTTCTCATGGTGCAGATATCAACGCAAAAGATAATGAAGGAAAAACACCACTTAAATATGCCGACGAGAATAATAACGAAACTTTTGCGGATTTTCTTATTTCACATGGAGCAGAACTTGAAGAAGGAGATGTGAGAAAAAGAAGAAAACGCTCTTCAAAATCTAAAAAATGTATAATTTAAGAGTACACAAAAGCCCGCTTGATATAAAATAAACCTAATTTTTCTTTTGCGATTTAATATTTTATATGGGCATTCAATGCCAAATCATATTAAGGTCAGGTAAGTGGGGCCTCCAGGCACTTCGTGCCCTCTAGCCCTGAAGATGTTTAGTATAAATGAAGTTTTTATTCTGAGTCAAAGCTCGGGTCTTCTGCGTTATATGCAACGTAATTGAACCATATCTTGTATGGATGGTTCAAATCCGATGAAACAGAAATGGTTTCACCGGGGACTAATACCAAGTTTCCTTCCCAGTAGTCTTGACCATTGCTAAAGAATATGCAAACCAATTCTTCGAATACAATTTCTTGTCCACTTTTGCGTTGGAAAATGACTCTTACGCAGCCCAATTCAAATTCAATTTGCCGTGCAGCCATAAACTTCACTCCGTACTCGTACAGCTATGACGAGGAAATGGTTGACAATTTCAACTTGGAATTCGCAAGGAGTTGTGCGAAAAACCCAGCCAACATTTTCGGCTCCGTACTCGTCAGCTAGTTCATCCTCGTTCGTACTATTTCGTTACAGAATGAAGACAACGAAAAAGATGGAGTCATTCCAGGTGACCGTGTAAGAGTCATTTTCCAACGCAAAAGTGGACAAGAAATTGTATTCGAAGAATTGGTTTGCATATTCTTTAGCAATGGTCAAGACTACTGGGAAGGAAACTTGGTATTAGTCCCCGGTGAAACCATTTCTGTTTCATCGGATTTGAACCATCCATACAAGATATGGTTCAATTACGTTGCATATAACGCAGAAGACCCGAGCTTTGACTCAGAATAAAAACTTCATTTATACTAAACATCTTCAGGGCTAGAGGGCACGAAGTGCCTGGAGGCCCCACTTACCTGACCTCATAACCATCCATGCTTTTACTTTACATCCGATAAAAGTGGTTTGGAAACCGTTATGAGATGGTTAGAGGACATACATGACTATGAGTTTAGATATGACAAGATAGAATATGAGAGAGGTCCTATAAACCGGAGAAAGTGTCACAATAAAGAAATTTTATTAGTAAGTAAATGTGGTTTGAAATAGGACTACTTGTTTTAGGTTTTTTCCATTGTGTCATTTATTTATTTGACGTGGCAGAAAAGTACAGAGAATATGAAGATGAACCAATGCCTGCAAATGTTCAGTATATGTACTCGTAAGAGATATTTTTATCTAATATTAAATGGACGCACAGAACTTAGCGAATGCACAGCAACCTGGACAACCAAACCCAGAGAATATTCCAAATGAAGTTAGAATACAAACTGCAATGGCAAACTATGGTCAAGTGCCAACAGATGTACAAATGCAAACTGCCATGTCAAATGACGCTGCGTTAGGTTTGCCACCATGGTATGCAAATATGAGATGGAAAGAGTTTTATACAAACCCTGAAGTGGGATATAAACAACTTTATGCAGATGACGCGAACACAGGAGTTGACCCAGAATATGTTTTCTACCAGAGGAGAAACAGAATGTATGAGCTCCAGTTAAAGAATGCTATGGAACTCAACAGGAAACGTAAGAGACTAGGCGGACATTAGATTTTTACATATAGTAAAATGGGTTTCTTCAGTAGTATTGGAAACTTCTTCAGAAGAGTTGGAAGAGGTATATGGAATGGAATAAAACCGTAGGAAGAGGAATTTGGAACGGAGTCAAAAATATTGGTAAAAGAGTAGGTCAGCTTGTTGGTATTATACCTAAAGACCCTGAACCAGAAGAACAAGCTCCTGTTATACAACAGCCTGAACCTGCACCACAGTCTAGTTGGCAACCAAATCCAACACCTCAACCGTATTAAAAAATTATATTTTTACCGTTCGATAGTAGTTGTATATGAAACTAAGTTCTAAGTAAAACGCATGGTATAATGGAATTATTCTTTTTCTTCCATCTGTAGTAAACCATACTTGAAAGTCTGAAATACTTCCACTTGGTGGTTCGTATAACTTTGTAGGTTTTTCGTAAAAGTCATTTGCCAAGCATAAGAAAGAGTTTTGAGCGCCAGAAATGAAGCATGAACAATAATAGCAGCTGGGTCGAAAACATTTTCATATGTTCCATTAGGGTTTTCGACTTCATAAAAGTCTGGGTGTACTGGATATGCTGCAGGCTGATTTAACATCCTCATAAATCTATACCATGCCAAGTTGTTATATTTTGTAGAAATATAAACGTTTTCTCCAAGGTCTTCTATTTTATTGATTTTAACAGTTGCATTTTTCCTGTCATAAATAATATCGAGATGGTATTCTCCTTCGTCAATGTTATACTGGTTTGCATATTCGATATAGATATCGTTTATTTTTTCTTGAAAAGCTTGAAGAGTTTTTCTAAGTTTACAAGCAAACTAACTTGTAAAAGTTTTCCCTGTTCAAATTTCTCATACATACGTTTTTCTTTGTTATAGTATCGAACTTCAAAACCGACCGTAAATGGGAAACCATGTATGGCTTCTGAAATGAACTTCATTCTACGAAAGCCAATAGCTTTTGTGACAGATGGGTCTCTTAGCCATCTTAATGGGTAGTCAAAACGATAGCCTTCATGCTTTACGGTATCTGTCTCAAACTTTTGACCGACATTAGTAAAAAGTTCATCTAATGGTTTAGTTGTAGCAACTCTTGAATTTTCTTTTTCTATTGAAAGCATATTTTATCTATAATAAAAATGTCGAAAGATATTGCTTCCATAAGAGAAATACAACACAACCGACAACTCATTATGCAAGCTCTAAATAAGAACACAACAAACTTTTCAAACTATTCTAAGATATCTGAGTCATTGAAAGAAGGAAACTTAAAACTGACATTAAACCCAATGACAGATGAGTTTCTGTTTCAAGACAATAAGAACCATACTGTCTGTATAAATCCAACAAAAGGAACTTTAAACGAGAAACCTATAAATGAACTTCTTTTGAAAGCAGATGTTGACAACAAAGCTGACAAAGAATATGTAGACGATGCAATAGCAAAAGAAGAAGAAAGAGCTAACAATGCTTATGCAACAAAAGAACATACTCATCCTGAACTAGCAGACAAAACATATGTTGACAATAAAATGTCAAGTGAAGTGACAAGAGCTGAAAACGAATATTCTAAAAAGACTCATACACATTCTATATCTGAAATAACAGACTTAAACGTTAGCCTTGAAAATAAGGTAGATAAGGGACTTATGGCTAGTGTGTTAGTGAAGAAGGCGGATAAGGAATATGTGGATGAAAAAGATAATGAAATTATAGAAAGGGCTGAATGGTATCATGAATGGACATCGAAGATTTTAAAAACTAAAGCTGATACAGGATGGGTTTCAGGATGTTTAGACCTTAAAGCAGATAAAACTTATGTTAACGATGAGTTAGAGAAGAAAGCAAATAAGACTCATACACATACAAGTTTTACAACTTTTACAGCAGATGATATTACACTAAACACAACCTTGCCAAGTAAAGGTCCAACAATACCACCGGCAACAAGTCTTGTAGATACTTTGATATCTAATGACAATATTATTATGCATCTAAGACAGGAACTCAATGTGCTTAAACAAATTTTGCCGAATCTTATTTACCCGGTTGGCTCATTATATGTTTCAATGAACTCTACCAGACCAGAAGTAGTACTTGGTTTTGGAACTTGGACTCAAATAGTCGACAGGTTTTTGTATTGTGCAAACTCTTCAAAGGAAACAGGTGGAAGTAAAACGATTTCAGGTGAAAATTTACCTGCGCACAGTCACTACATAGATTTAAGTACATCTCAAGCAGGTTGGCATAAGCATAAATATTGGGATTGGTCAGCAATGACAAAAGGTAAAGGATATGATGTTAAAGACAACGTTAAGTTTGCTATAAATTGTTACTGGAGTAACACTGAGGGAGGAGGAAACCATACACATCGCGTTTCAGGATATACGCAAACAACGGGACAAAGTAAAGAATACATGCCACCTTACATGACAGTTTACGCATGGTATAGAAATGCTTAGTCGTCATTTTCAACTTCTTTAGCATATTCGTCAGGAGTTGTCTTATATTTGTTAGGAACTGTCTTTGAAAGTATACCACCTTGAACTTTGACAAGTTTGAAACGAGGTCTGGCAATAGTAGTTTTATCTTCTGCTTGCAGTGTGTACATTTTGCCATGTTTGCCTAAAACTTCATAATATTCTCTTGTATACTTTCTTCTATTTTTACGAACACGAATGTGAGTACCTATCGGGTTCCCATTGTTGTCATAGTCAATAGTATTTTCATATGGGTCGCGTTTAGGTATTTCTATTTTTACTTTGTCACCTTTCTGAAGTTTGAAGCCCGGCATTCTTTCTTGTTTGTCTCTTTTGACTAAATTATTAAATATATAGTCTTTCTCTAAGTCAGGGTTGTTTTTCATTTCTTCGGGGAGTGGTTTCCCAAACCTTTTTGTTTACGGTTATTGTAAATATTTAAAACTTGTCTCATCTTTGCCATGGAGAAGTGTCTATATTTGTCGTCATATGACATTTCATTTGCTTCACCACCTTGTGGTTGGTTTAAGTCTCTTAACATTTTTATACATCCGTCAATGACACCAAGAGCAGAATGGTTTTGGTCGACAATGAAATATTGGTTTACATTTTTTGAACGCAGATAGTTTTTTACATCATCTGATTTGAAAGAACTTTCACAGTCAGATGTCAGTTTTGTTGGATGGTATTTGTCAACGAATATTGTCAAAGCTGCTAAGATATCTAAAATAGCTTTGGACTGTAATGGTATGGCTTCACAGTATCTTGTGTTTTGACCAACAAATATTAACCAGTATGGTGGTCCATCTTCTCTATACCTCGGAATGTTTTCCAAGATATCCATAAACCAAGCATTTGGTGTTGAACTAAAGATTTTTACCATGAGTGCTTTCTTTGTCGCTTTAGAAACATAGGGGTCCTTGTTTGGATTCGTCATTTTTTATC